TAGTATTTTTATCGGTTTTAAATTTTGATTCCTACCATTTTACATTGAATTGGGTATTTTATAGATTTTAGGTTGTTAAAGGTACACGAAATTGGTGTCTATGTGGTAGTTACGCTACTTGGCGATAGATGGCGCTGAGTGTTTATAAAACGGAATAGCGTTGTGTTTTTTAAGTATTCTTCGCTTTTAAATTTTGGTTCCAACCATTTTACATTAAGTTGCGTATTTTATAGATTTTAGATTGTTAAAGGTACACGAAACCATAGTGGCAACAATACTCAACAATTAGCAAATATATTGTACGCTGTTGTTTCAACGCTCGATAGATGGCGTTAGGATCGAGTTAGATGGCGCTATGGTTTCGTTACCGGCGAAAGTATAGGTTCCGGCCTTCCGTATCAACTATATTTTAGGTACGCATCTAGCGTTTAAATTGATTATTATTTGTTCGATTTGTAGGTTTGATTAGTCAAGTCTTATTTTTCTAGGTAGATATTTAAAGTACTATAGTAAATTTTTTTCGTCGTTCTAAGACGCTTTGTTCATTGTTTACGTTGATTGATACTGTAGCTATATTAGTTAGGTTAGATTAGTGAAGTGGTTTATTTCTAAGTAGATGTCTAAAGTAGTTAGGTTTTCGATAATAACACTTATAATATAGTTTACCACTCAGTTTTGGTTTAGCATTGCAAATATAACCCTTATAGGAAATAGAAGTCTTTTAAATTAAAATGGGAGGAGGTGTTTGTGGTAATGCGAAAATAACTTCTTCTGTTCTTTCACGCGGCTGAATCGATTTTGGTATAAAGGTAGTTTGAGTCCTGGAAAAGCAAGGCTTTACCGCGGCAGAACTTCTCATTCCCACGGAAAAATCTAAAACGCGCGTTATAACCGAATTCCACGCAAGCGAACAGCTGTTTGTTTGTTTGCCTGTCTTAAACGGCAAAACGGAGGTACTTAACGTGATTTTTCAACTGAAGGTAGTTGAAGGGATGGGTAGTCACATAGGCTACGTTTTATCTTTTTGTGACGCGAGCGAAGCCGCGGGTAAAAGCTAGTTTTTACATAAAAATAGCAATTAATGAGTCGAAAAGCGCACTGAATAAGTGTAGATTAACACCAAATAAGCGCTATAGATTAAAGCGTGAAATTTCCAATTAGTAGGTAATTCGTTGAATTGTTTTAGACGGCACAAGCGCCATCTACAGGAATACACACAGCGCCATCTATACTAATATTTTTGTTTTCCCTCGGGAATATCACATTTTTCCGGGATAAAAAGTACCCTATTATTTAATCTGGACTTCTAACTTTACGTCTGCAAAATTTCAAAGCAATCGGTTTAGTAGTTACGGCGTGAAGGTGGAACAAACAAACAAACAAACAAACTCACTTTCAGATTTATAATATTATATTAGTAAGGATTTTCTATTATGATACGATCAATGAATTTTATTAAGATTAAAAAATGTGGTCCGGCTATGGTTGTACCCAGGTTACGGCTTAGAAATGTTCATGGCTTACCTATGATAGTGACTAGCTACCGTATTATGGATACTGACGGCAAGTACAGTCTATTTAATGAAAGTCACATCTTTATTGCATTAAGAATGGATAAATACTGTAACATCTTACTAAATATAAATATTGATTCAGACTCAGATTTTTTTTTTTTTTAAGGGGGGAAAATCATCGAATGACTGCTCCCGCCTGGGTGAGGCGGAAGGGAGTGTCAGACTCTTACTGACTAAAAACCACCCCGTTCCTTCTCCTGCACGTTGAGCCGGAGCCCCGGTTACCCGTTAGGTTCTCCGCGACTCCGAATCGGCATCGGCCCTATTGGGCCCCATCTGTGGTGGTCTGATGGCTCTTTGAGGCGCGCGCGGAACGCGACGCGCCGTACGCTCGGGTCTGTTTCTGGTCGGACGGGGAGCCACCCATGCTCGCCGTCCGCAGGCCCGCGTTTACGGTGGCCGGAGATCGTCCCGCGATCCTCGACGCCCGGTGTGTGATTCTGACGTTAAAATTCATAAAATGGGTGTGTGATTTAATATTATTATATACAAGTGTAGCAGCTTGTTACGGTGGCTCGTCGAAGTCTTACGTTCAGTTTTTAGAAGTATTTAGTAAGTCTCTCTGTACCCAAATAGAAACTTATCGTGTCGCGGAGAACCTAACGCGTTACCGGGGCTCCGGCTCGACGTGCAGGAGAAGGAACGGGGTGTTTTTAGTCAGTAAGAGTCTGACACTCCCTTCCGCCTCACCCAGGCGGGAGCAGTCATTCGATGATTTTCCCTCCTTAAAAAAAATAGAAACTTATCGTAGGCCGCATCATCGCTCACCACTAGGCGAGATAGTGGACAAACGTCGATCCTCAAATAATAAAACGCGACTATAATACTTGCGTAGCGCTAACAAGGCATTAGGACAAGACGTCAGTGTTATGGCTGTATTCTGGGAATACTGTCACGTTCTTCGTTTTTTTCTCATTGAAGATAGATTTCAAACTTAATAAATATAAAACACTATAATGAACATGAATTTTTGTTAAAAGTATAAATCATAGAGCAACACAGGCCACCAGCGGATTGCTTTATGGTATAAATAAAATTGAATCCATCTTATACAACCGAGTTACGATAAATAAAATACATTTTTATTTCTCGGTCTATGGTATCGGTAAAGTGTAGTCTAGTAAACATATGCCGGAATACTGAAACGTTACTCAATTTTAAGTCGTGCTCAAATATCGTGCCATCTCTGTCATTTTACTAAGAATTTGTAGAGACAGAACTATACTTAAGCGCGACTTAAAATTAGTAACGTTTCAGTACTCGGGCATTAATGTTCTATAATGATTAATTAAACAAACAAAAACATACATCCTCATTCCATGTCGAGACCGTGACTGAGGGTCAAGTTGACGGTTAGTGAAGTAGGTCCCTTCCTAGTTACTTGCTTATATAGGGTGTAAAACGAACAATGAAATAAAACCAATAAAATAACTTCACTAGGTACATAGTATAAAACAAAGTCGTTATCCGCCGTCTGTCTGTCCCTATGTATGCTTAGATCTTTAAAACTACGTAACAGATTTTGATGCGGATTTTTTATTAGATAGAGTGATTCTCAAGGAAGGTTTATATGTATAATACATGCATATTGCACCCGTGCGAAGCCGGGGCGGGTCGCTAGTATTCAATAAAAGCATTACTGGTTGGTTTATTTATAAATAACCGAAGCTTATATCAACAACGCAAATAATACGAAAAAAAAACTATTAAAATTGTAACAATAATATCTTTGTGTCAGCGTTTTGGGAGCGTTCCGTTGACCACCTGTGTATTGTTAGATAACATCATAACATCCCGCCTTTTATCCTCGAAGGGATAGGCAGAGGTGCACATTATGCCACTGTACCTACAATGTAACACCCACTTTTCACTATCTATGTTATAAGTCCCATGTAATAGGGGGTGAGCTTATTGCCATTTACCGGGCAAAATTCCAGACTCCGTGCTACTACTGAGAATATTTTTTAAAAACCCAGTAATACTTTGGCCGACCCGGGAATCGAACCCGAGACCCCTTGCCCGGCAGTCGCACTTGCGACAACTCGGCCAACGAGTCAGTCAGTATTGTTAGATGTTACATAATAAAAATGTTTATAGCAAAGTTTCCACTGTTATAACAATTACATTTCAGTATTACTTATAACTTTTAAGATAAGTCAAATTAAATTAACATCATATGTCGGTAACCAGACCCTGGCGTACGGCACGCCGTACGCCGCGCCGCGTCGGCGGTCGGACGGCGAGCGCCCCATACTCACCGTCCGCAGACATTTTTGACATTAGTAAATTTGTAAGAAGTTTCTGTCCAATATCAAGATCGATCCAGACTCTGAAGGAATGTCTGAATTAATAGCAATCATTAATGTCGGACGGTACCTAGACCAATCCAAAGGTTTTTCTTTGAGATCCGCTTTTTTATCAGTTATTTTTAAAATTTATTTTGTCAAAAAGTTAAATCGATCCATAGATACTGCTTTAAGATCAGTTATTAATTTTGAACGTTAGCTAGACCGATCCAGAGATTTTCATTTGAGATCGGCGTTACATACATTATCTGCAGTTATTCCTGTGTCGTTTTTCTTCAACTGATAATGTAAGATTTTTAGCTATTGACATCCTACTGTATGTATAATATTATGTCGCGGAGAACCTAACGGGTAACCGGGGCTCCGGCTCGACGTGCAGGAGAAGGAACGGGGTGGTTTTTAGTCAGTAAGAGTCTGACACTCCCTTCCGCATCACCCAGGCGGGAGCAGTCATTCGATGATTTTCCCCTCTTAAAAAAAAAACTGTATAATATTATAAATGTATGTTTGCAACACCTTCACGTCAAAACGACTGAAGTGATCGGGATGAATTTTGGAAGTGGGATAGATCATGGTCTGGGGTAACATATAGGCTACTTTCACCCGCGGAAACGCGGGTGAAGCCGCTGGCAGAAGCTAGTTATTAATATAAAACGTTTCATTTTCACCAACTAACTGATTATTATTATTGATTTATAGAAAAATCGTCGGGAATACCTACTTATAAGTTTCTCTCAACCTTGCACTAACGCTAACAATAACAACGGGAATGCGGACGAAGCCAATGGCAAAAGGTATTCCGTGCATAAAAAAAACAAATGGTTAATTATGAATAATTTATTAATAGGTAGGCATTTCATAATTTAAGTTTTGTAAATGCGCAATAACACCATTGACATGACTCTTTAGTTGTAAGCGATAAATGGCCGTGCTTTATGAACCTTCTTCCATTGGAGTGAGATAATAAATATTGAGAATTATTAGGAACATTTAAAAATATTCCTTAAATTAATAAATAAGACTTATAGTAGTATAGGGTAATGTCATAATGAGTGTTTAATATCGCAGTTACTGTCTTATCTCAGGAAGATAAGATCATCTTATATGTTCTTTGGTAGATCTAAGCGACTGGGATTGGGACCCTCTGTCTGGGCTGGATCTTCAGCCTGAAGCCGTCAGTCCTCTTGAGGATGATGTCAGCCTGTAGGGCGAACTGGTCTTCGGTCACATCAGACGTCACCTTGTAGTTACGGAGGATGGTCGACAGGAGGATCTTCAGCTTCAGAAGAGCGTACTTGCGACCTGGAATTATGAATTTTATTTGTTACTAGCCTCTGCCAGCGGCTTCGCCCGCGATCCCAGGGGTAAAATGCCTATGTATCACTTCAGACCATAATCTACCTCTGTTCCGAATTTCATTCCGGCCCCTTCAGTCGTTTTAATATGACTGAGTAACAAACATACACATAAACTCACATTATTTTCATTTATAATATCGAGTCAAGCTAATTTCAACCATTGGCCTTTCAGTTACAGCGTAAAGTCTATGAATGAGTATTGTAAACGTTAGAGTAGACAAATACAATCAGTAATCACCGAATTGCTAAGCTATCTGGAGTTTCACGTGTTATTGTGAGTTAACCATAAAAGATAGACATATGCTGTCGAGGAATATTTTTTATATAATTTTAAGGAGAATATTTCCGACATACATGATTTCTATGCAGCTTTAACCTATAATCCTGCACACGCGACGGAAGTTTAAAAAATGGAGTAACTTCTCCCGTTTTCCCAATATTTCCCTTCACTGCTCTGCTCCTATTGATCGTAGCGTAATGAAAAGTATACTGTACCTGCCCAAGAGTATGAAGAATAATTGTGCCAAATTTCATTAAAATCCATCGAGTAGTTTTTGTTTCCATAACGAACATACAGACAGACAGACAGACAGACAAAAAATTTACTGATTGCATTTTTGGCATCAGTAGCGATCCCTAACCACCCCTTGATAGTTATTTTTTAAATATATTTTATGTACAGAATTTACCTCTCTACAGATTTATTATAAGTATAGATTAATTACATTGTATAATTGGATTAGAGTATTATATGGATTCCACTGTTATAGCTAGATTCTTTAAAATAATTATATTGGATTCAGGTTGTATTCGCAACTATACTACTACTAAGAATTTATTAATTCAATAGTCGTAGTGCTAAATGCTATACGAAAACTGGTGTGCACAACCAAAGCTTGTATAGGTAGCACAGAGGCAAAACTATAGCTTATTGCTTAATCCTGTTCGTTACAACCTAAATATAACCTAAAGATTATGTTAGGCATAAATTATTTTGATATCAGATTTTTATGTTAATAGTCATTTGTAGGATATCGTGTAGGTTGGTGATGTGATCTGCCTGCTATTGGTAAGTTCATCAACAATATAAACCAAATAGGACCCCTGATATTCCAAAAAATTAAACACTTACCAACGCAACTCCTGGGTCCAGCACTGAATGGAATGTAGCTGTAGTAGTGCCTGTTGGAGGTGTTCTCAGGCAAGAAGTTGTCAGGGTTGAAGGTGTTGGGGTCCTTGTAGTACTGAGGGTTGCGGTGGATCTTCAGGGTACCAACCACGACAGTGGTACCAGCAGGTAGCACGTAGTTGTTGGTGGCTGGAAACATTAAACATTCGTCATTATAGGCGGTGACGCAATACAGCCTTATAATAGAATTCAATTTCTCTAATTCGGTTCACTTAAAGGTTAAATGCTAATGACGTAAATGCAGATTACCTATGCATTGATTTGCGTCATTTGATTGAAATAATTTTAATCTATGGCGATGTATTTAACTGTCTATATTCGGTGATGGAAGTCACGTCTATTGTTAGACTTTTAATTTCTTCCGTATTAGTATAGTCATTCGAAGGCTAAATAAGATACTTATCTAGCATCAGGATGCAAACTGCAACCTTGACAGTTTCCTATGAAATTTTCACAAAGGAATACATACTTTCTAAATTTATTTCGATACATTATGAACGATAACAACATCAATTTTCTAAAAAATCAATGCCTAATATTTCTCCACGTGAGAAAACGCTTTGGCTCAAGTCAGGTCTGAACGATTACATTGTAGGTAACAAAAACATGAGAACACTTAATTATTTTTAGGTTATAAAAATTGTGACGTGATAAAACTTTTGTATGTTCTATTATAAGCTCATTGATTTTTGGAACAAACACTTGTATCCTCACATTGATATACATTTTATTATAATTAGGGAAAAGAATATTAACTTACCGATTTTCACATCACGGTTCAGTTTCCTGGCGATGATGGGCACTGGTGGGTACATTCTGAGGGATTCAAGGATGACTCTTTCCAAGTACTTCATCTGCAGGGTGTCGGCGAAGGTAGAGGGCCTGTCGGAGTCTCCAAAGATCTCATACAGCTCATTGTAAACTTTGTCTTGGATATGCTTGTGGACACCCAAGAGGCACAGTACGAAACTGGAGCCAGCGGCGGTGGTGTCGTGTCCCTGTAAAAGCAAACGAGATTATCTTAAAAATCTGTTGCGACTATGAATCTTTTTGGTTTTGACATAAGTTCTGAAGAAAACAACCTTACCGTAGAATACAAAATTTAACTGCAGTATCCATATTAAAACTAACACTCCTGTATCTAAGTTATTGTTAGGTTAGAAATAATTAAATTTAGGCTGACGTGTTCGCCATATCATTTTATATGCAAACGTTGTGAGTAGGAATCCAATCCTCACTGTCTTTATCTCGAGACAATTGGATCTTAAGCTTTTTTGTTGTAATCACGACAATAAAATTATAATTTAAGAAGATCTATTTGGCTTATATGACTAAAAGAAACTCGTGTATATACTGTTCTTCCTTTCACGTGTTGAGTGCGACTAGCACAGCGAACTTGTAAAAGATACTTAAACGTTATTTGACATTTAAGGTATTGTCAATCAACATTTTATTATTACAGGAATGTAATATTAAATTAGAATCATGACGTGTATAAGTGGTATTTAAATATTCAAGCTTATTACATATTTTATTACCTCAAACATGATAGTGTCGACTTCCTCCTTGATTTCGTGGTCACTGATGTTGTTGGTTCCATTCTGGGATGATTCGATCATCAGGTCCAAGAAAGCAAGACGTTTCTTCTCACCTGATACAAAATAATAAATATGTTTCACATTTATTATTTTGACACACACAAAAAAAGTATTGTACTCCAATTTGAACTTTAAACTTGTTGTTTTAAAAAATATTTTATGTTTACCAATGTCATTTTCGTCGTTAAAGTCCAAGTCATCACGGTATCCCTTGAACACGTCTTCGGAAAGAGTCTTGTCGTTGTTGGCAAGGACGCTCTCATCAGGAGTCCTGGTGAGTTCCTCCAGAGTTGGTGGGACGACACCCTTGGCTTTGTTTTCTAGGTAAGTTTCCTTCTTGCTCTTGATAACCTGTCAATTTAAAAAAAAACATAAGTAAATAAGAAAATTTGTCGAAATTACTTTTTAAACTGTCAAACACCAAGCGGTCACCGGTGACCGCGACCTATTGTTCTTTAATTGTGTCTATAAAACCGGTACTCGACGAGTTAATTTCCAAATAAAAAAAAACCAATAAGTTAGGTAGGTTGAAGGTGAGATTCCAAATGAATAACAAGTAATCAAAGTTTTAAATGATTCGAATGAGTTCTAAAGTGATGTTACCTTGTTGGTAAGACCATGGATGATGTTCAAGAGATGTTTCTGTTGCTTAAAGAAAGGTGAATTGTTGAAGATGGCGTCGAAACGAAGCCACAGTTTGTAGTGCCTCTGGTGGATGATATCGCACATCCTGAAATGATAAACAATGAATCAAGTTATTCAAGAAATGACCAAAGTATAACGGAAATTTTAATATAGAAAAATGATTGATAGAAGTTATTTTATTTTAAAATCCGCTTACTTCATTACAGCCATAGCGTAGTCAAATCCAGATTCATCTTGGGTCTTCCTGGTGATTCCCATAGCAGTTTCTGTAACAATCCGATAAATATTTATATTTTCATATTAACACAAGTCATGCTTACTTGTAGAATAATTTAAAAGTTAAATGCCCACAATAATTGTGGAAACATTTTTGCAAAGGTCAAATACGTGGGCGCTTACAAAGCAGGCAAAGAGGTTAAAAAGGGCAATTAATTTGAATACCATGTTAGTACACAACTAACGTGTACATACATATTGATATAAACAATTGCGTGCAAGCTGTTCAATAGTCATTATGTACATCTTTTGTTCACAACGTTGGCTACTGACTGCCTCGTTGGCCGAGTGGTCGCAAGTGCGACTGCCGTGCAAGGTGTCTCGGGTTCGATTCCCTGGTCGGGCAAAGTATAACTGGGTTTTAAAAAAAATCTCAGTAGTATTACGGAGTCTGGAAATGTGCCCGGTATATGGCAATTGGTTAGCCTATTGCCATATACCGGGCACATTTCCGAGTGGTTAGCCACCTATTTATCATAATACAAATAGTGAATTGTGGGTGTTACATTGTGCTGTGGCATTAAGTGCCGTAATGTGCAGCTTTGCCTAGTCCTTCGGGGATAAAAGGCGTGATTATATCTTATGTTGATATTTAGAAATACGTTTGCTATGCTAACACATAAATTGCATGATTCGAACAGTTTAAAATTGACCTCGTGAGTTTGTATCAGCGTTTCTTTTCTTCGGTAACTGGGGTTACCCACATTCACACGACGAAACACAATGCAAGCAAGTTGCTTCACGTCGGTTTTCTGTGAGGTTCCGGTCGAGCCGGCCCTTTGATTGTGATGAATAATGGGCATAATTTTATTCTACTCAAAAGTTGACGAGCGGAATGTACCTGCCGATAAATAACGACGATACGTATGCCGTTAGAAAGCTCTTTTCATGACTATCATTTGTTTTTATGAGGACTAGTCTCAATTCTTTGTGTGGAAAATTGTTGCTTAAATGATATAGATCTATTGAAGGACATGGAGTAATGCCCACTTCTCAATGGGAATAAGATGAATAGGTATTCTTAGGGTATGTACACAAAACTGATACGGCGTCGCATCGCAAAAATGTGCGAGCTCCCTCTACGCATCGCAAGAACTTGCGAATTAATTCGCATAGCGCATCAAGATTTTATCTTCCCAAAATCTTCATTGTTTGTTTTTCCTGTATCTCCTAAGCAATAACAAAAGTGCACACGTCTTTTTACGATACATGTCTTAGTTTTCAATTTAGTACGGTTGACGGTCTTCGAAGGAATGGTCACCCAGAGAGACGCCTTGTCGCACGAAATCGCATCACAGCAATTCGCATCGTAATTTTTTGCGTTGCGAATTCGCATCGCATCGCAGTTTTGTGTACGAGCCCTTTTGTAGAATACGTAAAACTTCGTATTACGATTAAGGGCAAAAGTCAGTCTGGTTTCGGAGTTACAGTGCCTATATCTTCGATCAACAATGCCTATACCTCTATATAGAATGTTTCAGTGCTCAGATTGAAATAACTTTAGGACATCGTACCTCCGAAGGTACTGACATTTGACCATAAGTGTATTCGTAACTATTGTTCTATTTAAGAAGCCCTATCTAATGGTGTGGTCCTGACTCCATACATTTGGTTCGCATTATCTTTTGTTTAATAGATCATTTAGGTAACTGTAACATTTTCCTCATAAAGAATTGAAACTAGCCCCTATAATAACAAAATTATAGTCATGAAAAAAACTTTCCAACGACATTAGTCTGGTCGTTATTGGTCGGTAGGTACATTTCCCATACCGCCCGTCATCCTTTTTTAAGGCAAAATTGAAAAGTACTTATGTTAGAAAATAGGAGAGGTTAATACTCCGAATTGGGAGTCTTGGGTAAAAGGTGATGGTCATTATTATTTTGTTTGACAAAAATGGTGTTATGAAAAATTTGTGTGGGTGTGATGTATGTTAATTTATTGTAGGTCTGTAAACGGACCCACAATACAGAAAAAAAACCAAGTGGGGGACGTCTAAAAATTAGGATAGAACAGTAATTCAATCTTACCCAGCAAAATGTCGACAGTGACACCGCTCATGTAGTCATGGACATCGAACTCTTTGCCCATTTCTGGACGCATTTTCTCGACGACATTTTTGCCGTTCTGGTTGAAGATGCCAACGAAAGATTTCAAGATGTTGATGTGGAATGTAGGAGCGATCATTTTCCTATGGGAACGCCATTTTTCACCTGGAAATAGGAGTGTGTGTGAGTCATTTGCTGTTATTATCTCAAAAGTTGTCTTTGAAATTAGGTATGTATTCGAAAATTAATAAAAACAAAGTCACGTCTTTATACTCTGATTTAACATACAAAGTCATAGAAGAAGATTGAATTCAGTACCGTGCTACTAGAGTATGTAGTACCACATATTCTCTAATAGCATGGTACTAAATTCGATCTTCTGCTAAAGCATAGGACGGATACGGGCTGATCATTAAATAAGTTAATCAGATCCTAAATAAAGTATCAGATGTTTTACGTACCTGTGCTAATGAGAAGACCCTCTCCAAGCCAGGGTTTAAAGAATTTATATTCAGTGGCCTTGTCGATGTGGACCTGACTGTTGAGGATGATCTCAACGTCATTCGGGTCGGTAAGGAAGACGATAAGGTTTGATCCCATCCACACTCTGACAACGTTGCCGAACTTTTCTCCATACTCAAGGGCGAGCTTTACCAGATCTGAAATAAATGTTTGAATTAATTATGACAAATGATGGAGTTTCTTGCCCATTTTTCTCCATTCGAAGCTATACTTTGGAACGAGCACCAGTTTCACTAATAATTCAATTTGACGTATCAAAACGACGACAACTGTCTTTGAATCTCTAAGTTAATACTTTTTTTTATTAAACATGCATTTTTATGACAATGTTAGATGTCTTGGACAATATTGAGTAATCATCAAATTGTGTAGGTTATAAACACCCAGATTCTTTCTTGAACAATGAATCAATGAATTGGACAGTTATTTAGTGAGCAATGGGATATTTTTTTAAAAGAACCATATTTATAGCGATTTGTTTTTTATAATTATGCATAGATAATTTATGTTTGTAGACAAATCTCCTCTTTAAGGGATCAAATGTCGGCAATGCACTTGTTTTATAGTTGCGGGTGTTCATGTGCGGTGCTGATCGTTTACAATCAGATGCTCGTCCGCTTATTTGTCTCTGATTCCACGATAAAAACAGTAATTACATACTTAAAACGCATCATTTACTACTTGCGAATGCATCTTTCATTACCTAATTGTATTCTGTCTATTTTTTAGTTCTGAGATTTTTTAACTTGGTAGAAAATGAAAACTTTTAAGTTATTTAAATGAAATTCATACTCAATTTGATTGATGGGAACAGTAACTTCACTTACCACTGGGTTTCTTCCTGAGCACGATAAGTGCATTTCCAACGAAAGGTATACTTGCAGGTCCAGGGATCTTCTCAGCGAATCTGTACATGCGCGACTTCTGCTGCCATCTGTATAGAATCCAGATGCTGGATGCGAGGAGCAGGAGTGGGTAGAAGATCAGTCTTGTGTTGTAGCTCGGCACCTCGGTCTCGTCGACCAACGACGTCATTGTGCTGAAACAAAAGTGTTGCAATTTAATTATTATATCCATTTTCACTGTCACCAAGATGACTGTTTTCTTTCCATTGTGCAGATTGCAGTTTTTCAATGGGTAGTTGCCAAACCTGATGTCTTGTTTACAGGTTAAATATACATATTGCCATTTTTTGAATGGGACTAAACAACCATGATTAATATAAATACCTTTTTAAATCCTCAAAAAAAATTATAAAAATAACAGAAATCAGAAATTCAATTGCAAACTATATACGCAAACTTGTCAGAATAAGATAAGAAAATGAAGCAAGACAATTATTTGAAATATTCATGTCGACTATGGTTTCAAAAAGTTTTGTACACATTACCAGAGATTTATGGATTTTGTGACACTTGCTTCTAAGTTTCACATTTTACAATAAATATTGAGAGACATCCTATTATTGAATGCAATAAATATTTCTGTGGCACTTACATTTATTTTTTATTTTATCCTAAGTATATATCAGTCAAGCCTATCTACCCGTGGTCCAATCACAATTAACCTATTTACTAAACAACATATGTCATTTATATAAGTACGCATCACTTATGTTGCGTATGCTAATACATTGATACTGATTAATATTTTACTTGTAAATGTCTTTCGCTGTTGTATATGTATGTATACAGAATAATTATTTGTCGTCAATAAACGTTTACAAGTACCTAAACACATACACACACACACACAAACAAACACAAACACATTTAAAAAGTTACATTTCTTTACTATTTTTTATTGACAATTTCTCTTAAATAGGTAGCCAAAGCTAGCTCTTAAAAGTTTTTGAAGTATTTAACTGTTTAAACAAAGTTTTTTTAAATTCTTAATAGAATCAAGAAAATTACAATAATGGTTTCTGTCATTCTGTAAGCTGTATGCCTAGTTACACTTGCATCAGTAGTCGTGGTGGGGAGACTTAAGACACTTGCTTCTCAGATTTGAGGGTTTGAAACCTACCAACGGCAAGTACCAATGTGACTTTATCCGAGTTATATATACTTTCTTAAATTATTAGTCTAATTTCTAATTATAAGTTTGAAAATGAAACCCGCGTTGACCAAGCGTAGTGATAAATGCTCAAACCTTTTCCGTGTGAGAAGAGGCCTTTAGTCAGCCGAGGGCACTTATAAGTTGTTGATGTGATACCTACCTGCATTAATGTATGTACTGCTCCAAAAGACCATAGTGATATAAAATACCATATGTGTGAAACAGTTGAAATATTATTGTGTATATTAACTTTTCCAGTTACTTTTGAGCATCTTTAGAAATTAGTGTTTTATTTTCAGTTTATTTGTTCTGCTAGATGACTTGAGACTTTAAATTATTGGAACTACCTCTATACGTTCTATCTAAATTGTCCTGGGTATGTAAAGATATACTTGAATATAGATATTATTACAACGACCAAAAAATTAGTACAACCATCAACCTCTGAAAACAGTTTTCTAGTGTAAATAGAATTTTGTGAATAAAATTATATTTTTAAAATAATCACTACGGAACCATAATATAAAAACAAGCCTCGGATTTGTAATTTTGTGTTAACATGGTGTAAAATGCTAAGCAAACATTATTCAGAATTGTAAGTTAGTTTATTAGTTGGTTCGTATTATGACAATTGTGCTTTAACTATGAAACTACTGTAGGTATTTTGACAAAATTTAGAACAGAGATAGATAGAGTCCCGGCGAAATACAAAGATTCCTAATTACATAAAAGGAGTGATAAATGAAATAATTCTAGGTAATAAGGGTGAAGTCGTAGACCAAAGCTAGTGAAGATATTAAAGTGTTTTGTATTTAAAATTCATTTAATTTGTATTACAGACGTAATGTCTCACGTGTAATTACAATTAAAATACCTACCAATTAACAAACAACATTCGTAAACGCACGTCGGCTTCATTGGATATCATTCGACCCTTTCACCTAATTTTGTCATGATTTAAAGGTGTAGTGATCACGAGTTTTACGACTGACCTGGAGAGTTTGGTCCACGAGATTAAGATTTACATATAAGAATTGTACCTTGTGAATAAAGCATAATTCATCTTTTATGATAATATCATCAGTCTACAAGTGTCCACAGCTAAACAAAAGCCTCGTCGCATAAGGAGATGGAATGAATAATAACCAGACACTTGTCTAAGGCGGTTCGGCGATAGTCCCAGTAAGTAGCTACCTATGTATGACCAGTGTACGGAAAGATTTATAGGTATTCAAAGTATGTGTGACTTTATTTTTGAATTCATAAATAAGATCATCTAAAGTCTACGTAATTCCTACTTCTTTTCAGATATTGTAAAATGCGTGACATTTCGTATATTTGCAAGTGATAGTAGTACCTATGTTGTATACTCTAAATAGTTGGCAATCTCAATAGGTAGAAACGGTACTATACCGTTTCTATAAAATATTTTCAATTACACTATTGTAATTGAAAATATTTTGCAATTACAATAGTGCATTTTAGCAGTTATGGCTACCTATGGCCAGTGTACAAAAAGATTTATTCATATTCAAAGTGTGGGAGAGCCATGCTTCCGAACCATGCTTCGGCACGAATGGGCCGACTCGACCAGATTATACCAAGGCCTTACAGAAAACTGACATGAAACAACGCTTGCGTTGTGGTTCGTCGCGTGAATGAGGTTCCTGGAGGCCCAATTACCCCCTCCTCAATTTCCCCCAATACCCGCATCCCCAACAATCCTCAAATTCCTAAGCCCCAAAAGGCGAAGTATATTACATCTTTTCACATTTGTCGACATTTTTATCTATACTTATAATAAATCTGTAGAGAGGTCAATTCTGTACATAAAATATATTTAAAAAATAACTATCAAGGGGTGGTTAGGGATCGCTACTGATGCCAAAAATGCAAGCAGTAAAATTATTGTCTGTCTGTCTGTCTGTCTGTATGTTCGTTATGGAAACAAAAACTACTCGATGGATTTTAACGAAATTTGGCCCAATTATTCTTCATACTCTTGGGCAGGTTATAGTATACTTTTTATTACGCTACGATCAATAGGAGCAGATCAGTGAAGGGAAATATTGGGAAAACGGGAGAAGTTACTCCATTTTTTAAGCTTCCGTCGCGTGTACAGGCTTATAGGTTAAAGCTGCATAGAATTCATGTATGACGGAAATATTCTCACAGACAGCATATGTCTATCTTTTATGGTTGACTCACAATAACACGTGAAACTCCCGATAGCTAAGCAACTCGGTGATTTCTGATTGTATTTGTCTACTCTAACGTTTACAATACTCATTCATAGACTTTATGCTGTAACTGAAAGGCCAATGGTTGAAATTAGCTTGACTCGATATTATAAATGAAAATATGTGAGTTTATGTGTATGTTTGTTACTCAGTCATATTAAAACGACTGAAGAGACCGGAATGAAATTTGAAACAGAGGTAGATTATGGTCTGAAGTGATACATAGGCATTTTACCCCTGGGATCGCTGGCGAAGCCGCTGGCAGAAGCTAGTCCTTACTAATATTATAAATCGGAAAGTGAGTTTGTTTGTTTGTTTGTTCCGCTTTCACGTCACAACTACTAAACTGATTGCTTTGAATTTTTGCAGATGTATAGTTAGAAGTTCGGATTAAATAATAGGGTACTACTGATCCCGGAAAAATTTGATATTCCCGAGGGAAAACAAAAGTATTGGTATAGATGGCGCTGTGTGTATTGGTATATGTCACATTGTCACATTGGCTTTTTATCCTTTTGTGACGCGAGCGAAGCCGCGGGTAAAAGCTAGTTACTTCATAAGAAAGATTATCTAAAGTCTACGTAATTGGACACTATTTAAAAAAAGTTTCAAAGTACATACGTAATTAATTAAATATTAATCGCATGTCAGCTTGTTCGTAAGGAATACAGTAACAATGGTTAATTTCGCTTCGTAATATACGATTGTTGATAAACAGTTAAACCGCATAATTTATACAGTAATTACATGTAGGCAGATCGACTATTATGCAAAAGTGTTTGAAAATTAGTGAATTGTTGTAAAAGTGATTGCTTTTTTATGGGGGATTTTTCATCTATTCGCTTCTCCTGCCCTTGGTAGGACGAAAGAGAGAGTGTCAGACTCTTACTGACTAAAAAACAACCCTTTCCTACTTGTGCTTCGAGCCCCGTTAAATCCGTTTGGCTGTCCACAGCTCCGGATCGGGCCCTACTGGGCCCCTTATCTGTGGTGGTCTGTTGGCTATTTGAGGCACGCGCGGAACGCGATGTGCCGTACATTTGGGTTTGGTTCTTATTGGGCGGCGGGTTACCCTCGCTTGCCGGAGACCCGCACATATAAATGCATGCTAAAGAAGTCGATTTCGATTGAAGCAGTAAGCAAAATCTAATAAAACAAACACGGCTCCAGCAATTAATTATAAACTTTAAATCCTATTTCATATGATATATTTCATAACATCAATGCAAAATGCCGAAGGCGCGTGGTTAGCGCGCGGTTCTCTAGAGTTGTAGTTGAGGCGCCCGCGCGTTAACTGCACGCCGCCAGCGAGCCGCCAACGAGCTGACAGCGCGCCGGCAGCGCACCGGTAGAAAGCCGACGGCGTGCCGCCCGCCAGGCGCGAGCGAAACAACGTCGCATCGTAGGTAGGCATTGTTAACTAAAAAGTTACCACTTTGCGGCCGTCGTGCCGGCTGCGTGCCTTACAACTCGCTGGCGACGCACTATAAACGGCGGCTACCAGTTGGCAAATTCGAAACAACTCCGTACCAGAGTCGTGCTTGTTAGATGTGAGATGATCTTTAATTCGAATTTTAGCTGATCTAAGATTGGATTTTAATGTTAGAGATAAACCTTATGACCAAAGGTCTAAATATATAAGTTTAATGTTTAATAATGTTTATTTCAAAAAGAAAAGTTGTGAAAAGTGAATCTTAAGCTACATACAAACAGGGTGCTAATGTTATTCATAAAGAAGTAAGTAAATGGTCATATAGTAGGCAACAATTTAACTAAGGACTACTAAGTTTATAACAATGCAGCTAGGTCATATTATAATTTAATTATTACTCTGAATTAATTTACATACATAGTTATTGAAAAATTAATTGTTGTAGTGGTAATAATCATTATTTATTTTGAATATAAAGAACAGTGTACACGCTTATGAAATTGCAATGAACTTATAAAATATGTACGTAATTGATATTTTGTGACCCTTATAAATTGCAACAAGCTTCTTCCAGCGGCTTCGCCCGCATTCCCAAGGGGTATAAAGTAGCCTATGTGTTACCTACTCCACACCGTGATCCACCTCGGTTCCAAATTTCATCCCGACCTCTCTAGTCTGCGGGTAACTAAACATTCGACAAACTTATATTTGCGTTAGGTACAGTATCTCTGTCTAAGGATCGAGCTCCACAATTAAGTTGTTTTTTTTTGTGCATATAATTTTTCGGGATAAGAAGTACCCGGTGTTGTGCGCAGAATACAGTATAGTATAATCATACCAAGTTTCATCTTAATTGGACTGGTAGTTTTTGTGTGATGCTTGAACATACAGACAGACAGACAAACATGTTTGGGTTCGGCACCTACTTAGTAACACCTCCCACTATTTATTTTTTATTATTTTCAATGTACAGAATTGTAGAATCAAACTGTAGAAGTCTTAATTCTGTACATTGAATTATTTTCAATGTACAGAATTAAGACTTCTACACTATAGTTTTATTATATACTAGCTACTTCTAGGCGGTTTCACACGTTATGCTCAGCTCCTATTGGTCGTTGCATGATGTTTTATAGCCTATAGCCATCCTCGATAAATGCGCTATCCAACACAAAAAGAATTATTCAAATCAGACTTGTAGTTACGGAGATTAGCGCGTTCAAACAAATAAACAAAAAAACAAACTTTTCCGCTTTATATAATAGTATAAGATAAGATATAGAGTAGGAAAGCATAAAATATTATAATAGATAACACAATGATGAATAAAAATGTTTCAATTTATTTAGATTAAGTGATAGATCGAACTGGCCTTTGTAATTTAGTTTCAGTCATTTTTTCACATTCCAATAGTATAAGACTAGATTCATCGCTTATTTAATTTGTTACATTGTAATAAGTGTCGAGTTTGTTAATAATAGAAGCATGTATACTTTGCCACAGTGAGGTTAAGTACCTTTTTCATGGCCATATACTGTAGCTTTCACACGTAATTTGTATACAATGCACCGCCGGTTACCCGGCACCGGCTACACGGCAACCGGAACGTGTCAAAAGGCGCTTAGGCTTTTTCTTATATTGAAACACAATGTCTTGATCACCATGCTTGCGATTTGGCGACTATTTTCATCAGGTGTCGTTCTGGTTACGTCATGGTACTTTACTTAATCGTTGGTCGGTGGTGTGTACTGAACTTAGAAAGAACATGTAACATAGGAATAGTCATATTAGCCAGGTTTGAAATCCTGGCTATTTTTATTTTGGCATTTTCGATTGTTGGGCTTTGGTAATGTTCAGGCTGTCCGAGGTTTAGCATAATTATCTACAATATTGATGACTTGACGCCAATTAAGCCTATTGCCAAATAAAAACTCTACTGTTCTATAATGAAAATGAGGTAGTTTCCTAAATTTTATTTTAATGTCCGTCTGGTAGATTGATTTAAAACTTTAGAGACGTATTTTTTCTTTTCTCACAAAATTAAGTACTTTCAACGATATATTAATTTGAAATATCGTGTGACGTCACAGCGTGTCACATTTTGTAGCATGCTATGACGTAACGACCTCCCACTCCTAAACTTAGCGCCATTTTATCTAAGTATTGGTACTTTGTACAAAAAATACGTGTCTAATATTTTTTTATTATCTAACTGACGGACTAATTAGATTTTTAATTTTGATACCCTAGACACAACCCAATTGAGGACAATAAAAAGTAAAAAAAATAACTTTTATTTTATTACAAAACAGTCTACGATTCTTAACATTATGTTGATACTCACGTCAATAATTAAGTATTGTATTGATGTACAAATAAATGAATACTAATATAGTCTTTGTTTCAGTAGAACATGACTACCATAATGAAAGCATTAGGTCGTTTTAGGTACATATTTATGCAATAGGTACTAAATTACTAAGTATAAATCTATGCTACATTTGTTGGTTTTCTTATCCTAGGAGCAATCTGTAGTCTGAAGCCGTCTGATCTTTTCAAAATAATGTCTCCAAGAAGTTTGAAGTCCTTCTCAGGTACCGTGGATGTGCATTCATAGTTCCTCAAAATCGTTGATAGCAAAATCTTCAGCTTCAGCAAGGCGTATTTGCGACCTGAAAAGACATGGTATGGCAGTTAATATAACAGAGAAATAATGTCTAGGTACCCTTGTAAACCTTCCTTCCTCTTCCCTTCTAATAAGATGGGGAACCCCTTATAGCAACGACATTTTATGTCTTTTTTACCTCGATAGGATATAATATCTACTTAATCTTCAAAGCTTTTGTAGTCTTTGGTAAGCATAGCAAACTTATTGTTAAAGATCGGAAGGCTGTATGATATTAAAAAATATCATTTTTAATAAATTAATAATAGACATATTTATTTGCCTAAAAATAAACTACTGGTTTAGTCACGGCAATGTGGAAAACTATAGATAATTAAATGAATATAGATCATTTTGTAAGAACAATTGAACCTTACCGACACAACTCCTGGGTCCAGCGCTGAAGGGTATGTAGCTATAGTAGTGCCTGTTGGACATGTTCTCTGGAAGGAAGTTGTCAGGGTTGAAGGTATCAGGGTCCTTGTAGTGTTTGGGGCTGCGGTGGACCTTATACGTTCCGATAACTACCGTGGTGCTTGCTGGGATGAGGTAATTGTTGGTAACTAAAAATTAAAACATAATAGATGAGGATGATTACTAGGCAAAGGAACAGTAAATTGAAAGAGTAGTGGGCGGATCAGGTTTGGTAAGTCAATTCTGGAGTGGAAACCACCCTAAATAAACGTAGCGCAAGATGCCCCTTATAAGATGCCCAAGATTCCTTTATATTAAAGAAAAATATAATTACCGATGTTAACATCTGTATTCAATTTCCTTGCGATGGCTGGTACTGGTGGGTACAACCTCAATGTTTCCAATATGACTCTCTCCAGGTACTTCATTTCCAAAGTGTCGGCAAAAGTGGCTGGCCTGTCGGAGTCTCCGAAAATATCGTAAAGTTCATTGTAAACCTTTGCTTGAACATCTTTGTAGATACCCAGCAGACATAGGACGAAACTGGAACCAGCAGCCGTAGTGTCGTGTCCCTGGAAAATGTTTATATCCAATTCAAATAAGCCCGAAACAGTACAAGTAAAAATTCGATATTTGGAACTAAAGTGGTTTATATTGGTCTTCGCTTACGTGAATCCTGAACAAATTTTTGGTTCTTCTTTCTTTGATTTAAATAATTTTCTCTAAAAATGGTTATTTAAACTTACCTCAAACATAATAGTGTCTACTTCTTCTTTGATTTCGTGGTCAGTTAACTGATGAGTACCATTTTGAGCTGATTCAATCATAAGATCCAAGAAAGCCAGTCTTTTCTTTTCACCTGAATGAAGAGGATCGGTACTAATTAGACTAATCTGTCGTGTAAAAAAACCTTAAAGATTATTTTGTTATAATGTGTTTTTTTGTTTCTAATGGGTAGGAATTATTTCAATATCTTGACTGGAAATAGTGACAAAAGGCACATTTTAATGAAAAGTTTTGCTGTTGAGCTATAGCAAGCAAAACTGCTGAGTTTGAGTTCAATTTATTGCTGATCTTTAGTTCGATTCACGGATTGGCTCAAGACTAAAATAGTTTTGGTTTATTGAAATACTCAATATGAACTATTTCTATACTTAGGTAATTAAAAGAGTGATGTGGTGCGCAATATACCACATGTCACTAATCAATGAACTCAACATGAATTTGTTTTCATGGGATAAGCCAGGGTGCTTACTCTTGAAACCAATCTCAATGTCAATGCAATTTCAATCCAAGAAAATCTCAATAAATATTCAGTGTCAAAACTATACAAGCCCTATCATGGCTGTTAAAATAGCATTCAGGTTACGGAATATAAAGAACAACTCAATATCATTTAGTTTAATATCCACGCAATACGGATGCAACTCAAGAGTACGAAAGTTTACAATACCAATGTCGATCGATGAGATTGGATTAAAGAGTAAGCCCTCAGTTCATGAGCCTATAGATCGCCGGATGGTAAGCAATCGGCGTCGCCTATGGACACTCAAAACACCAGAGGAATTACAAGTGCGTTACTGACCTTTTGGGAATCAGAAATTTGAGGATTGTTGCGGATTGGAGATATTGAGGAGATTAGGACCTCCGAAATTAATCAGCAGTTTATACGCTAAAAAGTAAATAATTTCCTTACCAACATCATTATCGTCATTGAAGTCCAAGTCATCGCGGTACCCTTTGAACACCGCATCAGAAAGAGTTTTAGCATCATTGGCTAGAACACTTCCATCTTCTTCATTTTGCGTCAGTTCTGCCAGTGTTGGTGGTACAATACCTTTATCTTTGTTCTCAAGGTACGTTTGCTTTTTGTTCTTTATCACCTGGATTAGAAAAAGTAAGAATAGTGTGAGTTTATATTTGTGAAAGAAGTTTTCTAATTTTGCATCACGCTAGGATTTTTTCCTGTGTCGTGGGTGCGTTTACAATCATACAAGTTCACATTCACATGACACTCAGACCCTAAATAACAAACGGGATCACATAAAGAGTTGCTCTGTACGGGAATCGAACCCGTGACACGTTGCGTGGCAGCCGAATGCCCAGCCAGCGCACCAACCGTGCCGTCAAAATCTACTAGTTTGTTTGGATTCGAGAATTAGAAGAATGTCGTATAGTTACATTAAATATAAGTACCTACCTAGTGTAAATTAACGAAATAAAAAAAAAACATGTAGGTACCTTATTTGTAAGTCCGTGTATTATACCCAAAAGTTGTTTCTGCTTTTCAAAGAAAGAGCTGAATTTGAAAATTGAATCGAATCGCAGCCAGAATTTGTAGTGCCTTTGGTGAATAATGTCACACATCCTGGAATCGAATACCAAGTTATATACCTAGTTAGTCTTATTTAATTTTGTAGAAAGTCATTGTTTTAGTTGTAATTACTTACTTCATAACAGCCATAGCGTAATCAAAGCCTGATTCATCTTGAGTTTTTCTTGTGATCCCCATTGCAGTTTCTAAAAAAAAATTTAGATTTTCAAACAAAAAAAAAAATAGAACACTAAAGTTTCGTGATCGAAATAGGCTGATTTTGTTGATATAAGTAATTGTATTTGGTTACAAGTTTATTAACGTCATACATACATAACATCTCACTTTTTATACCCGAAGGTGTAGGCAGAGGTACATATTAAGGCATTTAATGCCACTGTACAACGTAACACCCATTCTTCACTATTTTTGTTATTATGTTATAATAGGCGGTGAGCCTATTGCCATATACCGGGCACAATTCCAGACTCCGTGCTACTACTGAGTTTTCTTAAATACTTTGTCCGATCCGGGAATCGAACCCGAGACCCCTTGCCCGGCAGTCGCACTTGTAACCACTCGACCAATGAGGTAGTTATAATTCAGCTTCATGACAACCTGCCATCTCAAATCCTCATTTATGGAGGTTAGTTTGTAGCCAGAAGAATCATCACCACAACGGTTATCCAAATACAGTTAAATTTCGATATCATCATCATCATCATCATCAACAACAGCCTACAAATGCTGACTGCTGAGCAAAGCCTCTTCTCACACGGAGAAGGTTTGAGCATTAATCACCACGCTTGCTCAATGCGGGTTGGTGATTCCAAACTTAAAATTCGAAATTATAAGCCTAGGTTTCCTCACGATGTTTTCCTTCACCGTTTGTCAGTGGTGTCTGAATAATCTTAGAAAGTACATATAACTCGGAAAAAGTCACATTGGTACTTGCCGTTGGTAGGTTTCGAACCCCGCACCCTCATGGATGAGAAGTGGGCGAAGAATTTCTACCGGAAAAATCAGAAATGTGCTTTGTATTGAAGTTCTTACCTAGCAAAATATCCACTGTTGCAGTGCTCATGTAGTCGTGAACATCAAACGTTGTTCCAACTTCCTTTCTCAGTTTTTCGACAACATTCTTACTGTTTTGGTTGAAAACACCAACGAATGATTTCAGAATGTTGATGTGGAATGTAGGGGCAATCATTTTGCGGTGGGACCGCCATTTGTTTCCTGTAATCATAATTTGAATACAAATAAAATACGATAAGTATGCGGAGTTTCATATGTTCTCCATTTCTTGCTCGTTCTTCTCCATAGGAATCTACACCTTGGAATGAGCAAATAGCTTTTAATTTTTAGTTGACTTTGTTTAAGTGTAGTTTACCTGTTATAAATTATTATAACCAGTGTTTCACAAAACAACTAAAATAAATCTGCAGGTGACCAGTAAGCCCCACCAAAGTCAAATAAGTGAAAGAATAAGTCTCAGGATATAAATATCTAGGTTATGAATCTTGATGATATTAACAATGGATGATATATCAAAATCCACAATTATTAGCCAAAGTATATACAAAGAAAAACATTATATTATTCACGAAGTCTTATCTTCTTCGTGTGACACGCAGCATCTGATATCCATGACCGTAGGACATAAAATTTTCCACCACAAATGGGGCCTAATAGGGCTGATGCCGATACGGAGCCGCGGAGGACTTAACGGGTTACAGGGGCTCCGGCTCGAAGTGCAGGAGTAGGAACGGGGTAGTTTATAGGCAGTATGAGTCTGACACTCCCTCTCGCCTTACCCAGGCAGGAGAAGTAATTGGATGATTTAGTCTCTCAAAAAAAGGACGTACAATTTTCTGAAAATTACTTCTTAGTGTAACAAATGTTGTTCAAAAGCACCCAAAAAAAATTCAGACTGTAGCTTTACAAATGAAAATTGGCGTTATTAAAAAACTAACTGCTCGGATCTCAGAGTGAATCTTTATTCACGAGTAGACAAAATATTTTTCTTATACGAATGTCCTTATGTATAATGTCCTCAGTGTTCTAGATCGATCTATTTCGATGAAACATACGTGTCTGGATTCATCTGTACCAGATCGTTTCAAATATTTAAATCTAAGTTTTTAAACTTATCTTTTAAACACAATGTTGGTTTCAACTTTCGCAGTTTAGCTGATGGATGCGTTTACAGGCGTAACTCAAAACCTAGCTGTGATGGAATGTGATGCATTGTCAGCAGAAATTATCAATTAGTGGTGTATTAGGTACAAAAAACTGCTTACTACTTTATATTCATGCAAGTATATTTTTAAACATTGCATTGTACTTACATGAAAACAATTTAATGAGGAATGTTAAATAACTACTTTAACTCGTCGAGTACCGGTTTTATAGACACAATTAAAGAACAATAGGTCGCGGTCACCGGTGACCGCTTGGTGTTTGACAGATTAAGAACGTTAATGGTTTACGTTGACGTCTAAAAGGTAAAAAATAAAGAATCTTCGCAACGACGGCAAGCAACTGGGGTTAAGAATGAAGTCACTTATGATCGGATTATAATATTAGATTGAGTTGTAAAGATAATTGACAAACGTTCAGCGAATGTGGAATATGTTTTGTAGACTTATGTAATTGCAAAATTGACGTAATCAAAATTAAGTATATGATCGTCATTAAAAAAATTGCTCACCTGTACTGATTAGAAGACCTTCTCCAAGCCATGGTTTAAAGAATCGGTATTCTGGAGCTTTGTCGATGTGAACTTGACTGTTGAGGATGATTTCAATGTCTTCGGGATCCAGGAGGAATACTATCAATTTGGAGCCAAGCCAACCTCGGATCACGGTGCCGTGTCTCTCGGCATATTCAAGACCAATGTTCACCAATTCTGAAATGTATAATTCGCTTTTGAATTAACCAGTTATGCTATTGGTTACCAAACAATCTTTTTTAATTTACCTTCAATTTACCTACGTTTAGATCGTAAAGGACATAATATACTAACTCACGCAAAGCCAGATTATAATCATTATGTTGATACCTAACGCAGGCTATTTAGGTTTTGACAAAATAATTAAAAATAGGTATAGTTTTACGTCAATAAACTGAGAAAAGCTCTACTAGTTTCGAGTCATAGAGGGCCTCTCTTCATGAGTAAGAAAAAACCGTTATTTTTTATGGCATAAGCCTGTAAACGAGTAGACGGATCACCTGATGTTAAGCAATTGGCGTCGCCCATGGACACCTGGAACAGCAGAGGCGTCACAGGTGCGTTACCGGCCTTTTGGGGATTAGGAGTTTGAGAATCGTTGGGGATTCAGGAATTGGGGAAATTGGGGATAATTAAGTATGTCTCACGATAATTATTTGATAAAATATTTACTTACGGTCAGGTTTTTTCCCCAAAGCAAGGAGAGCGTTACCGAAAAACGGTACGCCTTCAGGACCTGGCAGAACGTTGCCCAACCTGAATAATCTGGATTGCTGCTGCCATCTATGTATCATCCATAGACCAGACACAACTGCTACCAGAGCGTAGAACACGAAACGTGTGGTCCAATCCACATAAACGGTGTCGTCGACAAAGGGCGCCATTTTGCTGGAATACAGAATACAAATGTTTAGACAGTATAAAGCGTTCCCCTTAGCAGACTCTGTTTGTGACTTTGTTACATAAGTCCCTGTATAAGTACCTATTTAAAATATTTTACGTTTTAAGGAAAAAGCAGTGCGGTACACTTATTATTTTTCACTTATTTTAAAGTAAAAAAAAAATATTTTATCACACTATAGGTACATATATATCACACATTATAAACAGCTGACAATAGATTGACAATTTGACTCTAAGTAGTTGAAAATAAATGACTCAAGAAGTGAATTAGTAAAATTAATAGGTAATGAATAAATAATTAATGACACTTTTAATAAGTTAGTAAACATCAACAGTATTCAACAACCACTGCTGACCAAAGGTTTCTTCTTGCACGGAGAAGGTTCGAGTATTAATCGCCACACTTGTTCAATGTAGGTTGGCGATTTCAAACTTACAATTAGAAATTATAAGCTCAGGTTTCTTCACTTTATGTCAGTCACAATAATATTATAAAATTATAAAATAGTACCTATCCACCCGTCTCAACACGATGTGCTTTCTTCAATGAACTCAGCAGTAAAAATGAAATTTCAACAAGCGTGTATTAAACGTTTTAATATTAAACTCTGATATTATTTACATATCTTGTACGTACTTATAATTTTCATAATAATTGAAAGTGATGAGGTCGACACATAAATTAATTCTGTTAGGTCGCATCTATACTGGTAGGTACATTAAATAGTTGACTAATCAATTTCGGTTACCGTCGCCAATATCAATGGAGACAAGTCAATGAAATTACGTAGGCACTAAAAGACTTCTCTTTCTTCTCCTCTTACAATATCTTCTAGCTGATTTATTTCGATATGATTTCAACAGTATTTATGTCCTTGAGACGCGCCGGCCGGACTTCAGCGTTCCAGTGTTTTCATGGATGGTTGTATCTACTATATATCCCGGCTTACAGGAGTTGCATCGGTTCTGGGAGGTTGTGGTGGGCTTGTACCAACAAAAAAGGTACTAAATTTCGAAGATATTTTCCAGACTCCCTAATAACTTTATTGTAAAGATTATAATTATTAGTAGGTACATTCCTTTTTTATGATAACTAATATCATTAGGCAAGGGAACAGCAATGGTCTCAGGTTGGCTTTTGGTCTAATTGAAACTATAGGTGTAAAATTATATTTTAATTCCTAGTCATTACACTCTTGGCGGAGTGGTCGAGTGAATTGTAGTTGCCAGTCCTCGCGTACTGCATTGATGAATTCGATCATTGAGTGCAGCCTTGATTTGATTAGTATAAACTATTTGTCATTATTGGCTCTCTTTAGACAGGGATTTTTATATTTAATGGGCAAAGATTTTCGTCGATCTTTGGGGAATAGAAAAATTGAAATTTTTATACATGTACGTATCAAGTGTTCGCAAGTATATTATAAGGAAGTAGGTACTGTGAAATACGCTTTATAATAAATATTAATTAAATTTCATGTTGACTTCTAACCTCGATATTCATTGTCTACTAATATGGTACTTGGTCAGGTAAAGTATACAAACAAATCGATGAACTATTATTTGAGGTTTTTGTTCGAAATAAGTTTTCCGTCTGCTCGTTTACCGGCTTATGCCATAAAAAATAGTAAAGAGATTTTGCTCAAATAGAAGGTGCGATACAAACAATTTTTCAACACGTTTTTAATAGGTACAGATCATTATATTTTATTCAGATCTAGAAAACTACGAACCATTTATTACGTTACTAGTTTCTACAATCTCGTTATTTCACGTAGGATTTACTAGAAATCTTTGGCTAAAAGAATTCTATATCTGTCTCCTCGTTCTAAGCTACCTTCCCATACATTTGCAACCAAGTCGATAGGGCCGTTCTTGAGTTTTTTTATTCTCTTTTATTGTTTTTAGGGGGCTTTTGTCCATATGGATACATACGTCAACCCCATCGTACCTTATCTAATTAAATATACTATATGTAAATGAAAGGGAATCATTACCCAGGTCTAGATATCAGAAAAGTTATGTCACCCTCACCAGTTCACACAACCCGTTTGCAATCTTCGTTTTAGGATTTGCTAAAATGTTATGAACTAGCCCAACATGTCCTGGAGTTATAAATAGTGTAACTAACACGACTTTATTCACTATTCGTTGATAATAATTACAAAAATATTTGCATCTGGTAGGAAACTGATAACGGAAGGTTACTTATACCTATATACCTATATACCTATATCATGCCTTAAAGAAGCAATTATTTTAACGATAGTGCAAGGCTGAGAGAAACTTTTAAGTAGGATTTGTCTATAAATCAATATCTCTTAATGATCAGTTAGTTGGTGAAAATCACTAGTATAATCGTCTGTTTTATGAAATATTAAGTGAATAAAAACTTAAAGTAGGTCATTAATGCAATAATGCGCCTACCGGAAGACGAGACTACCTATCCAAATGTTTTAGCAATTCACTAGAAAGCAACTTGCTATTATAATTACAACAGGCGCCCAAAGTACCAGCATTGTTTTACAGTTAAACATTTAATTTATTTTCAATGTATATTATAATTAATGTTCTTAATAAATATTAAAACAATTTAATTTTTGTACCAACATTTAGTATGCACCTACGATTTTACTTATAACAATAAACGCCTACCTTATTTATCATACTAAAGAGCGTAAGTCACATATTTACACACTATAGCTATGGTTATCATTTAAAATTGAAAAGGGGTTTTTATAAGTCGATATAAGGTCAGTTAAAATAACATAATGAACACTTTAACTAACAATCTATCTTTATTTTAATATGATAACTTAATTGTCACTATGCATGTGTATTTTTCCTATTATGTATGGTACATATAGGTACATACATAATTACGCACACGAAAAGAAATCTGAAAATTGAACTTGATTTGTGTAAACATAATATAGATTTTTACTCTTTAAAAAATAGTGAACTTGACCATTCACAACATGCATGACGCCTAATTAATTTTTGAAAAGGACGTTATTTCAAATTAACATTTACCTACTTACATGCCTTAGTAGTTATAGGAACTGTACTCATGGAAAAATATTTAAATATATGTATTAATTAGTTTTACGAAGTATATATAAGTATACTGAAGAATACCTACTTAAGTACGTTTTTTTTATACCACGATGGTGGCAAAACACCTGATGGTAAGCGGTTACCGAGGCCTATGTACGCTTGCAACACTTTGGGCATTACATGCGTCTTGAAGAAACCTATTAACTACGTGTCCGTCTTTAATATATTACGTAGCCATTATATCAAAACCTTCACCTTTTTTAGATTTGTCATTATGATTCTATGTTAAACCTACTTACATCGTCAAACTCGTTTGTAAAACAACATCAAGTGTTCATCGATTTCCAGACGATGTCAAAGGAAGAAGAAGAAAATTGAGTACCTACGTACATTTATCATAATATAAGATTGTACCTTTTAGTACCTACACAGTTACTTTTATAATAATATAGGATTGTACCTTTTATTTTTAAAGGGGCGTAAATTATCCAATGACTTCTCACACCTTGGGTAAGGCGTGAGGGAGTGTCAAGCTCTTACTATCTAAATATCACTTTGTAAATATCACCTACTTCTACTCTTGATGCTAACCTGTGGATACATCATTCTGATCGCATTATGCACTGTGTCGAAAATGTATAAGACAATTAATTAATCCTTAAGTTTATGAAAATCCCTGTTATTCTATTGAACTAGTACTTCATAAATGAAACTTTCATGATTACAACAATGTTGAAAAAGGTGCATATACATCCATGTATTAAATTTGTCCCCGAAGGGGTAGGTTAATACCACTGTACAATGTAACATCCACTTTTCACTATTTATATTATGAGTCCCATGTAATAGGGGGTGAGCCTATTTGCATGTACCGGACACAATTCCAGACTCCGTGCTACTTCTGAGAATTTTCATTATTAATTCAAACACATCACATAGTCACACACAACATAATTAAAACCTTACTTTATATGTATCCCGAATGTTCCAAAAACATTGTTTATAATGCATTTTCCTAGCACTAAAATGCCGTAGCTCACTGCAATACCGATCTCACGCATGGCCTTAGCTATTGAAGATTAGAAACTTAATGATAATATTCACGTTTTTCGTACAATACACTATGAACTTCAGAGTTTGTTTCCACTGACAACATGTCAGATATATGTAGTATAATGACTATCGTGAGACATACTAAATTAACTAAAAATAGCTGGTTACTCACGTGAACATACTGAGAAAAGCTCTACTAGAGTAGGTTACGCGACATCGCCGCCGCGATCGCGCACTCTGCTCATGAGCATCCTCATGAGGAAGAGCCCCTCTGTGGCTCGAAATTAGTAGAGCTTTTTTCAGTATATTCCGCGATGTTTAGTTTCATAAATATTTTATTTTCAACCATCTTGGACATACAACATATCTACAAAACAGAAAAATACAAACAAGTCAGTTCACTGACAACAGATATTGCCAGAAATAATTTCGTTCTTGGTGTTTCAATAATCGAAACTTCAAAAACTTTACCATTATCTAGGAAGCAAATTCAAGGTATTTTGCAGAGTAGTTTACAGTCATCCCACCATAGTTGTGGAACAATTTGAAATTCTTTGTGTAGAACTCAGTTCTCAAATGTTATAGTACATATAGTTAGTTACGGTAGCCAGGACAAATAAATAATAAAGTTTTCTTATAGAAATACATAATTGAGCTTGGTTTTATATCCAGGACGAAATGAAAAGACAGAGACGTACGCACGGCTACATATACATAACCAGTATAAACTGAACATTAAATGTGCGGAAAGATGATGCGACGCGACACCAGGATAAACTGGTTTTGTATAGATTGATGTGTGGCCGTGTGTACCTACACAATATCAATGTCTACTTTTTGCGTTACGTGTAATGACTAACTGCCAATTCCAATAACCCATCTTAATCTAAAATCTGTGAATTAAGATCGATTTTTGATAGAAACTTTATACAAGAAATGTCCAGACTTTACTAAAAAAAATAATTCTTTCGACTTGAATCGAAACTGGGACGATAAAGTGTGAATAATTTATTAGCTATTTTTGCAAGAATTTATTCTTATGGATTATTGATAGACACATTCACAGCCCACGTGGTCAATGTTGACCGACGCTAGCGGAGAATTTGCCTTCAACAGTTTTCAGTCGTCAGTTAAAGACTTAGGGTCGATTTTTCCAACTCTCGATAAATTTTAACTGAGTTATAACTTTGAATATTTGACAATTCTTCCATACTAAAAACTGTCAAATGTCGATTTCACTCTACAGCAGCTGTAGTCAAATGCCATTTAGCACTTGTCTACATGTAGAATAGAAAACCAAATTATATCGAATTGACGTTAGTGTTTACACATGTCAGTGTCATCTCCATACATTTTGATTTCTATTCTCTCTGTAGACAAGCGCTAAAGTGGCGTTTGGCTAAAGGCCCAGTTAAGAATTAACTGATGATTGAAAAATCAGCCCTAAGATACAGAAACGGGAAGTAATACTCTGTATTTATGTATACAAATGAATAAAATTGGAGTCTCTGTTTGTAACATTGATATAACCGCTTTTTACTACATACATATCAATATATACGATACATATACCATACGTCTGTGTATTTGTACTGACTAATCTCTACAATGGCTAGACCGATTTTGCAAGGCTTTAATTGGCAGTTAGCTATTGTACAAAGGAGTAACATGGACTACTTTTATTTTGGAATATTAGAACAAAAACAGTTATGTTTTAAAATTCATATTCTACGCGAACGTTACGGGCAACAGCTAACCTTACATAATAGTAAAACCCCCTCTTCTAAGATTGAATATTTAAAATACTTATGTAGGATAAATAGTCACTTTTACAAAAATTAAAAAAAAAACGATGTATCAATATAAACTCGGCAAAGTGGCGCTATAGGGGTGATAAGCCTCATCATAATTTGTTGGTAAATAACATTAGTCTATATACACAATACATAGATAGCCATTATCATACTTACACATTAACAGATTGGTAATACCTCGATTAGTGAACACTTTAGTCTAATCAGAGGAATGGGAATTATGTTATAAATATCATGTTCTCTTTATTCAAGATAATATTATAGTTTCCTATATAATTTAATAAGCAATAAGATGCTATGGTTGTAGCTAATGTTTTTCATTTGTATTTTTTTAAGGGGGAAATCATCGAATGACCTCTTGTGCCTGGGTGAGGTCGGAGGGAGTATCAGACTGTTACTGACTAAAAACCACCCCGTTCCCACCGGTAACCTGTAAAGTCCTCCGCGGCTCCGTATCGGCATCAGCCCTATTCGGCCAAATCCGTGGTGGTCTGATGGCTTTTTATATGTATAGAAATTAACTATGTATAGCGTTAGAAAATAAAACTAAGATGCGTTTTTTGGTTCCTATTTTTTATATCACTATTTTTGTGAGTTAATAAATATAGTTCGGAAGTCAGTCGAAGTTTTATACGTCATAAATTAAGTACGGTATGCTGATTTGTGACGTCATCATATATTTCGCTTATATATACCTAGGTAGGCATTTACGAGTATGTGTTTGTCATTATTTATTAAAACATTATTGTTAAACAATTAAACAAGAAACCTGCCTATTTTATGATTAATTAAATTTTTTCAATACCTAATTTTAATTGGGGAAGCGTTTTTTAATCGTGTTATTAATTATGTTTTCCGTTTTCAATTTTAATTGTATTATCATTTGTGATGATAATACTTTTTTTAGTTCTATTAATAATAAAATGGCATTCTGCGACAAAAAAAACTCCATTCACTTCAAAGTCATAGTACCTATTAAACTTGACCAGACTCGAGACGAGTGAATTTTTAATCAAGTTGCCTGTCGAAGTAGGAAACGACAGCACGCGTGGTGACGCTGATTCACTTAAAACTTGAATATATAACGTGTTAAGTTTTATAGAGGTAGAAAAACTCTGTGTTAATATTTCGTTTATTAAAAAGTTACGTAAAAAAAGTAAACAAAATCACATTTGTTTTGATTCTCTTGACATTGTAGCTGTGTCGCCGTGGAAGGGATCCCACTCTCGACCTCCATTCCAAGTTCAATCAAAAAACCAGTTCTTCAACAAGTTTCCACAAATTCCTACATTCAGTGCAGTTTATATTTGATTACAAAAATACAAATGCCATTACACGCGCGACAGTTTACTTGACGGGGGTGATAAGATAAAATAATCTCAAAAGCGTTCGGAGGTTCATAAAGTCGTTGTTTCGGATCATGTGTGATGCAGTGCCACGGAGACTATCAGACATGGGTGACATTACAGTGCCAGAATTAGAGAAATTTAATAAAAATACGGAAAATGAAAAGGAACAAAGTGAGACAAAGGATGAATGCGTCAGCAATGATCAGCGATCGCCGTTTAGGAGGCAGGTGTGTGTTAAAAAAAGCTTTTTAATAAGTGATTTAGTTAAGAATTAATTAAAATTATATTATAAAAATGTGTGGGTGTTAAATAAAAAATTTCTTCGATAGACGTAAGTAAACAATGGACACAGGTTTGTTATATTTTATGTAATTGATCGACGAATTACTGACCATCACCTAGTTCGTGGATTATGAGATATTAACGGCCGGATCTAACGTAATGTAATGATTTCCTCGGCGCACATTATCATCTGTTTAATAACTTCTATTAAAATTTCCATTAATTAGTTTGGGAAGCACATGAATTATAATTAAGTAAAAGTGGGGATATGGATATTATATTCTTTGATTAACAATATTTTTATACATGTATAATATTATTGTTGAAAAAGAAAGAAAAATCAAAATTATTTAGAGCTGCTTTTAGCATAAAGATACTTTTACCGGTGAAATAAAGAATACTTAAAGGGAAGTTATAAAGCGATTTCGTATGTTAAGGCTATTAAATTAAAGGTCAAAGTTGCTTGTTTGATATTTTTAAATAAGTCACCTCGAAATTACTGGTTTCATTTTACATCTTAGTTCTTTTTTATCTTTAACGACTACCATATTATTAAATACGGAAAATTAAAAAAATAAAGATAAGAATACTAGTAGAATTTTAGTCAAACCACGTGAATAATATTGTGGATTAAATATATATTAGGTATATTAAATTTAACTCGTCGAGTACCGGTTTTATAGACACAATTAAAGAACAATAGGTCGCGGTCACCGGTGACCGCTTGGTGTTTGACAGTTTAATGAAAAATCTTAATATCTTGCTTTAATCTAGATAAACTTCAACTATCCTGGTTCGTATAAAATAATCCGACTTTTAGAAGACATTTGCATTTAAATTACTTTATTAATACGTAACATGCGTGTGAAAATAAGAACTCGCACCTATGAACGCGAAAGTTCGTTTTGTCACGCTTTCGTAGCTAAACCGCTACACCGATTATGATAGAATTTATTAAGAATACATATCCAGTATCAAGAATGGGAACAGCAAAAGTCTATCAAAATATTACCGGAGAAACGCCGCTGGTTTAACATGCAAAGAGGTAGCATAGTTTCTAGTTTCGTATATCTGCTATCAAATCTTAAAAAAATGAGGCGTGAAGCACTTAGTTTTTATAACGATGTCCTTGGCTCTTGCCTGCGCAGTGCCTTACCATCATAGCATAAGTTCTAACAATGGTCTCCAAAATGTATACTTTATTATAATATTAGATATTAGTATGCATATCATATGCCTCTTAGCGAATCATTGTTGAGTTTTGGTCGCGAAAAGGAAGCGTAAAATTATATTGAACTTAATTCAAAAGACAAGCACTTCTTTGTATTCCTACAAGAAGTTAATTGGTCAAATTAATTCGATAAACCACGTATTAAACTGTCAAACACCAAGCGGTCACCGGTGACCGCGACCTATTGTTCTTTAATTGTGTCTATAAAACCGGTACTCGACGAGTTAATCAGATGAAGTAACGATAAGTAAAATTATTATAGTTTGCAATTGATAAAAATTTACTTGATTTCAAGACCTAGGAGGTCCGCAGGATCTCATTTGGATTTCAGTAAATTGCGAAGGGTTTATCGTAAATAGATATTAGGTAGCATTCAATGAGGATAATGACCTAATCAATACTTCAGTTTATGTCATGGTAAATTTTAAAGTAAATTACGTAGGATTTTATGGCATATATATAGCACTAAATGAGGATAATGACCTAATCAACATGTCTGTTTGCCCTGTCGATCTAAATTATGCTGATTTTTCATTCAAAAGAGGCTTAGAACCAAATATTATTTCACGTTTTTGTAAGTCAAAAGTGCCGCTGCTATAATACTTCACGATATACTTGACACTCATGTAATGCATGTCGTAATTTTCTAATCTAAAGCACTATGAAACATTGTTATCTATTATCTAAAGTCTAGTGACATTCTTTATCCTCAAACTATGCACGTGCGAAAATTTTGCAAATAAAGGACAAGACAAGTTTTTGGCATATATAGGAAATTCGACACCTGACAATGTACGTACTTCTCAGAAAAATACAAAAATAATGTAAAATTAATGCACAAATTTTATATTATGGAACCATTAAAATATAATGTTCTTATGACATTATTAACTCGTCGAGTACCGGTTTTATAGACACAATTAAAGAACAATAGGTCGCGGTCACCGGTGACCGCTTGGTGTTTGACAGATTAAATATGTAGAAGTCTGTCGCAATCATATGTTTTTTTTTTTTTTTTTTAATGGGACAAGCCCGCCACAACCTCCCAAAACCGCTGCAACTCCTGTAAGCCAGGATCTACAGTAGATACAACCATGAAAACACCGGAACACTGAAGTCCGGCGCGTCCCAGGGACATGAGTAACTGTCTTGGTTCCCGCAACGAAATGAATCAGAAGATATTATAAGAGGAGAAGAAAAAAAACTATAGTTTTCACTTCCCTCGGTGAATTTCTGCAGGAGACAGAATGAATTAAGCCTAAAGGCACAAAGAAGAGACTGTACAACTGGGTGAAGCCCAGTCGCCAAGCACCACGGAAATTTGACTAAAAAACTAAGTGGGTCCTATGTGTGAGCTGTTATACTTGCTTCCAATAATAGGTATGGCAAAAACGCCTAAACGCACGGAAATTTGTTCTAGATTCCACAAGGTCCGTATAATAAGCAATCATATGTGTTAAATCTAATAATATTCAATACTAGTATTGACGTCGCTTTACGACTGTGATGTGGATACAAAGCATATGATACTACTTTTTAAACCAACTGGTATGAACTATACTTAGACAAACTACAAACCTTCTTAAGTAGTGTTCAAAATAAAAGAACAAAATAACCTTAAAACAAGTTTTTTTTTGAGGGCTAAAACCATGCAATAACTTCTCCCGCCTTGGGTTAGGCGAGAGGGAGTGTCAGAATCTTACTGACTAAAAACCACCCCGTTCTTACTCCTGCACTTCGAGCCGGAGCCCCGGCAACCCGTTAAGTCCTCCGCGGCTCCACCCTTAAAACAAGTCTAACAAAACCCTAATGATCAACCAAATCACTATCATAAAATAAACACGAAATTTTATGATCTAACTGTACCGGAATTTCAAGCTGTCTCCTAATTACTCTACAGTCATTACTTGTACGCATTATTTACTCTAATCATAATGATGCTAATTATTATTATTGTGCATACATATTGTAGTATTGTTTACCTACTTACTATTAGATATGGGCTACACGTGCATGTGCACGATTACGCACAGAGTTCACTGCTGTCACTGTTACAATGTATTTATTGCAGTTCTCTTCAAGATCATTGCTATCGTACGCGTTTACTCGTGATTTAGTTGATTGAAAATTGCCAATAAATTATTCTTTCATCTTCTCACATTTAAAAAAATCTGACGTCTGACCCCTCTTGTTTTGAACTGGGTTAAACATACTAAAAACTTCTCCTAATTGTAACAATCACTTTTCGGTTCAGCCTTTAACGAGATAATCGCGCACAAACATAGGTCAAACTGAGACTTTTAAGTCAGTTTATCTTATATTATTAAAAACTACTAAGAGAAGCTCAACTAGTTTCATGTCATAACGGGACTCTCCCCCATGACTCTTCATCAATTACTTTAGCATGTTTCACGATAAATATTATACAAAGATATTTAGCGTTATTTAGGATTTACTTTGAATTTATAAGCCCAACCTTTGATTTAAGTATGTAGTATGTCTCTCAGCTTATCTTTAAGTCATTGGATATAACTGTCTGTCAGTACATCTTATAGATCAAAAATGCGACCTACATCATCTACATCTTGTTTATGTTTCATATTGTTTCAGGCGATCATTTCATTTGGCGTCTTCATGCTCACTTTGGGCGCTGGCGGCACATCAGGCATCTCTGCCATTTTAATACCACAATTAGCACATGCAAAGGGGAAGCATGAATTCTCAGTCGAAATGGTATCATGGGTAGGTACGTGTACATTTTGACTTTCGAACCTATTAAATAATTATTTAAGCAAATACTTTGAATTAATTGTATTATGTTTCTTTTTAGCCGCAATATCATCTTTGGCCCTCTTCTTCGGTAACCTGATGGCAGGTCTTTTAATGGACAGACTTGGAAGACGTTTATCTACACTACTGCTAGCCGCCACCTTTGTATCAGGATGGCTGATCATTGGATTTTCCTACGACAAAATGTACTTAATATTAATAGGAAGGTTCATCACTGGATTATGTCAAGGATGGCTTGGTCCTTTAGGTCCAGTGTATGTGGGAGAAATTAGTTCTCCAGCCTACAGAGGACTGTTCTTAGCAGCTCTCTCTTTGGGAATCGCAGTGGGTGTTTTCATGTCACATTTGTTCGGTACATTCCTTCACTGGAGTTTAGCGTCATTGCTGTGTGGATTCTTCCCTCTGTTTGGTGGAATCATTCTTTATTATGCACCGGAATCACCTTCGTGGTTGGCATCTAAAAACAGAATCGATGAATGTATTATGTCATACCAATGGTACAGAGGAAATAGTGTAGCCATGAAGACAGAGCTGGATAAAATGATTGCAGATCTCACATCGAAACAAAAGACTCAAGGCAAATTGAAAACTTTAGCTGCAAACATTAAAAAGCCAGAATTTTATAAACCATTGGGAATAATGACTATATTTTTCGTCATTACACAACTCTGCGGAGTTAACGTTATCTGTGCATATACAACAGATATGATGAAAGAACTTATCGGCAGGGGTTCAAATAGCTCATACACATACGCCGCCATGTTGAGTATAGATCTGTTACGATGTGTGTCCCTGGCAGTGGCCTGTATGATGCTCAGGAAGTCAGGAAGAAGACCCATGGCAATATTCAGTGGAGTGTTTACGTCGTTATCTTTAATAGCATTAGCTTTATATTTGTACCTACATAGTTCTGGTGTCATCCATGACAAGTCACCGTTTATATCTTTAGGTTTGATGGCATTCTACATAATTGTATCAAATCTAGGAATTTCGCCGCTCCCATGGAACATGGTTGGTGAACTGTTTGCTGTTGAAACTAAAGGAGTTGGTTCTGGCATCAGTGTTATGATGACATCGATTGCTTTCTTTGCAGTAGTAAAGACAGCTCCTTCTATGTTCCTAAGCATAGGTCACCATGGAACTTATCTGTTCTATGGGTTATCCACATTGTGTGGTACTATATTCTTATACTTCTGTTTACCTGAAACAAAAGAGAAAACTTTACTTCAAATTGAAGAATACTTTAGGTATGGTAAGAAAAAGAATAGTAAAGAAGTAGATATCTAAGAAGTAGTGGTTACGACATCAGCTGATGACTGTTTGTGTTGGTTATATTTACAAAACTGATCTCCTGAATGACGTACAGACGTGATAGTGTAAACTTAAGGTTGATGTAGTCTGTTTGTACGAACGATGAAAGGAGCCGTATTTATTTTAGTAATCGCAATGGCGTTTAATGAAGTATTTTATCAAAAATTGTTCAATGTTCGTTGTAAAACATTGTAGTGTGTAACGAAGAAGAACCAATGCTTGCATGAGTACTTGTATGATTCAGTTAACCTAGTTTGATATGTTAGTACAGTTTGATTGATTCTCATTGGTCACAGTTTAGTGGTAATGAACATAGATACGATGAACCAGTATCTACATAAATGGAATACGATGAAGGATTTCAACAATAATTGTAATTTATTGAATAGATGTTTCCTTGAAATGAATTATGGATGTATTAATTGTGGATATAAATTTGTGATCTAACTATAAGATTGTACTTATCTATAAGAGTTAAAATAATAGAAATACGATATTAAAGATTAATTTAATTCGAATGACCTCGTTGTTATTGTTTATTGTGTAATACTACTACACATGGACTTAGGCAAACAAATTTTACAAAACTACATCTCATATACGAACAAGTACGCTTTATCAATGAATAGTCTAACAATTTTGTACCGTTATGATAAATTATGCAATATGTCAAAAGTTCATTGACATGATTTAATATTTCACAACAATTATTTCGTTTGGTACGTATCTACCCGTGACATTGTGTGATACGAAATAATATTTGTACCTATTATATATTATTGGTTACTTATTGGACATTTTATTGCGATATCCATATATTTGGAGGGGCTGTACATAAATACATAAATAACATTTTTATGGTAACCTCGATTCTTGACCTTGTTTTTAATGGGTTCTTTACCGTCTTGGTGTTTACTGAAATATAAATCAAATCTTTAAATTACCAAGTTACATATATTCAACCTAGTAGATGAGAACATAACATTAGATTTTAACATAACATAACATCACGCCCTTTAATCCCCGAAAGGGTAGGCAGAGGTGCACATTAAGGCACTTAATACGAATGTATACATACAATGTCACACCGACTTTTCACTATTTATGTTATGAGTCGCATGTAACAGGGAGTGAGCCTATTATCATATACCACGATTCCAGATTTCGTGCTACTACTGAGATTCATTTTAAATCTAAGTAATACTTTGCCCGAATCGAACCCAAAACCCCTTGCCCGGCAGTCGCACTTGAGACCATTCGGCAATTGAGGTAGGAGTTTAGTAGATAACTATTATGGTTACTTGTTTATTACATTTATGGGCTAGCTCCTTCGACTTAGATGATATGCCCATAGTCCATCAGTGAACTGTAACGCGATGTTGTTGTTGAAGATGGTGTTAAGTTAGAATTTGAACCACAAATATTTTTTTTAACTTTGCCCCACACTAGGATTTTCTCCTGTGTTGTGGGTGCGTTTACAAACGTACAAATAATTTGTGAACCACACAAATAGAGTTCCGTGCGGGAATCGAACCCGCGACACGTTCCACGGCAGCCGGTTGCCCAGCGACCGCACCAACCGTGCATTCAATAATAGTATAAAATGATAGTACTAGCCACTTTAAAATTAGTTAATTGGTAATGATGCATATTAATAGTTAGATAAAAAAAAAACGTGGTGCCTAATACTGACCGATTGGAGGTCAAGAAATGTATAATTTTCCTAACAATTATAAATTGATTAAGTAATTTTAGTGTTCGTTTAATAATACTTTATGAAATAATTAACTTCTGCTAGTTACCTACGTTTCCGTGAAATAAAAAGTATTGTCGTTATTGTTTTCTATATGTTATAGTTTCCTATAATTTTATCCTGATTCCTTACTCGAGTGTACGGCGCGTCGCGTTCCGCGCGCCTCAAAGAGCCATCAGACCACCACAGATGGGGCCCAATAGGGCCGATGCCGATTCGGAGTCGCGGAGGACCTAACGGGTAACCGGGGCTCCGGCTCGACGTGCAGGAGAAGGAACGGGGTGGTTTTTAGTCAGTAAGAGTCTGACACTCCCTCCCGCCTCACCGAGGCGGGAGCAGCCATTCGATGTTTTTTCCCCTTAAAAAAAATCCTGAGTCCTTCAGCCGTTTATACGTCAAGAAGAAACAAACAAACAAGGAGGCAAACATACCAACTTTCGCATTTGTAATGTTAGTAGGATGTTAGACACCGAGTTCTAGTATTGTGTCAAAACTATTTTTTATGCAAACAAAATGATAAGTGCGGTATCAGTTCTTATAAAGTCAGGCTATCTCCAAGTGACGTTAGTGTGGCATTATGGTCTTAGTCTAACCAGTGATACATCGATAAATGCAGTAAAAAATGATTATTTTTATAAACTTTTATCTTCATACGTAGGCACTTCATTGATAGATATTTTTAAGTTCTGTCCCGATAATGCTTTATTGCCTTGTTAAAGATAAAGAAATTGCTTCATCAAATGCGGTTGTGTGCTAATTTGGTATTAATTGCCGTAATTGGATTTTAGGCTTCCGAGAATCGACAATAAGATTAATTAAGTATGTATAGGTATTGTATAAATAATTTAAGTACAAAATAAATGATTATGGAAGCAATAGGGTAGGTGCCTAATTTTATTTTAATGTCGGTCTGGTAGATTATTTTAAATTATTAGACATGTATTTTTTATTTTCTTACAGAAACGAATACTTTCGACGATATATTGATTTGAAATGTCGCGTGACGTCACTTCTATGTACATTTTATACATAGAAATGACGTTTACTCCTAAATTTTGATTCGTTTTATCTAAGTATTGTTTTATTATACGACAAAATAAAAAATACGTGTCTAATATTTTTTAATTACTTAACTTATGGACTAATTAGATTTTTAATTTTCATACCCTATCATCATCCCAATTAGGGAGCACGATATTTATGAATTCCGAAATTCTCATATATTAAGGAATGTGCCTCAAAGTTAGCTATAGACAAAGCAATTTAATTTAATAAATTAACTTTCATATGGATCCTTCTGCCTATCCTTTACAGAAATGCCATGCAAAATTCACGTTTTAAACGGATCGGATCACGTTTCATTGCCAAACAATTTTCTTCCTTGAATTAGATATTGAAGTGGGGTCGGAGACCTTTTCATTCCTAATTTTAAAACCTAAGTTATCCAGGTATCTGAATACGATACCCTAATGATGTTTTCATGTGAAAAGATATCCGAAAATATCTTGAAGCCGTTAACCCTTCCAGTGCATACATATTTATCTTGTGGATATTTTTTTTACTTTGATGATAGATATCGATATCTACATAAGTATGTGATGATCGGCTTTATTGCCATATAAACACAAAACTACTTACTGATAAAATCGCATGTAAAAGTGATACAAGATTGTGTCATTTTCCGCCATTCGATACTGCTATTGCTGATTTTGTAAAACAAAAATTATAGGTACCTACCTAATAATTTATTGGACAATACTTAACATACATATGTAATATTATACCACAGTATGACTTTTTATGAGATAAGCCGGTAAACGTTTTCCGGCAACGCACCTGTGACTCCTCTGGTGTTGCGGGTGTCCATGGGCGGCGCTGATCGCTTACCATCAGGTGATCCGTCTGCTCGTTTGCCTCCTAGGTATATCATAAAAAAAAATACGAGGAGAACGGTTCACCAGATGGTAAGCAAGCCATGGACACCTGTAACACCAGAGGCGTTACAAGTGCGTTATCGGCATTTTGGGGATTAGGAATTTGAGGATTGTTGAGGGTTCAGGGATTGGGGAGATTTGGGCAGGAGGATGGTATAATTGGGCATTCGGTAACCTCACTCACACGACGAAGCACAACGCAAGCGTTGTTTTACGTCGGTTTTTTGTGAGGCTGTGGTATCACTCAGGTCGAGCCCAATCGTGACGAAGCATGGCTCTCCTACACCTAAGTTTCTGAAGAAGTCCAGGCGACATAGAGATAGGAGTGGAAAAGGGGCAGAAAAGTTATAATATTATCTATCAGTAGTTCTAGGGACAGAGATAATTACAAACTGTACTGAGTGTTTTCTTTTCTGCTACAGCTGACTGTAGACTTCATTGCAATTTTTTACTGACATACAACCATGAAACGGTTAACATTTTTAAGCAACGATATATCAGCACTTCTTTAATAGTAATCAGTTAAACTACATAAATCACTTTGTATAATAACATGTGCAGTACAAGTAAACACGATGTACCCAATTAAACGGTAATTGCTACCTACTGTCAGCCAACAAAGCGGAACAAATGAATTGTTGTAAGACATTTACCTACAAGGGTCCATCCGCACCTAGCAACAAAAACAGTAGGTCAATTTCACAGTCCGTTAACTTGTGCTTAGACTGACACAAGTGTTGGCACGCGTCCTCCACATAAATTATCGATTCTTCCTGTCTGCCACGTGTTATAAGACCAAGATTCGCCACATCTGTGAAGATTTTTTCCAGGTCCCAGTTCCCACGTTGGCAAGACATGTTTGGTGACAAAAAACAACCAGGAAAACATCTGGAGAGTGGCTTAGTCTATTTATAGATGACTTGAGTGTTTATTAAGTAAAGTGTGAGGAACTTGTTAATGAACATGTGCGTCGGTTGACGGTAATGACATATGTCTGCACTGATTGGTGAAGGTTGTGCATTCAAATGTAGATCGATTAGTTCGTCAGACATTATATTCAAATACAGCCAATATCGAACAAAACCCAACCGCTACTGCCATTCTAAAATAAAACATGCATCAACGAAATTGCCTTTATTTTCATGTCAAGTGGTTCCTGTGCTTTAGTTTATTTTATCCCGTTTTCTACTTGCATATCATATCATTCGTATCAAAGGGCCACGATGGAATTCGGGCGGAACGAATATTTTAATAATTTACAATAGGACACGTGGCTGAACGGAAACCAT